AGGGCGCGGCGGGGGTCGTGCCCCAGGATCAGCTGCTTTTGCTGTTTTTCACAGCTGGATAGACTGCTAAGGATACCCTAGGACACATATACCTGTAGGTGCCAAACTGCGGCAGGATTTTACAAATGGGGCGGGGGAATAAGCCAACGAAAAAAAAATGCTGAGGGAAACTTTCCTGAAAAACAACTACGGGGGCGGCTTTTTAATAGTAATTTGTACTGTAGTGCCATCTAGTGACCACAAAATAGTACATTTAAACCGGTCAAATAATGCTAATACAGGCGTTAAGCACAGGTAATATATTCTAGGTAGCCATGTACCCGCATACAAATGCACACATGCATATATACGTATGTGTGTATCTATACACATATATATATTCCTAAATTCATTGCAGGCTAAAAGTACTTTTAAGTATCATGTTAATTGCAGTAAGTTAGATCTCCTTCAGCTTTAATAAAAAGACTTTTTAGCACATTATTATCACCATTGCTATCAGTAATAGTATTATTACTGTACTATTAGTATTTGCCTTAGGTATGAGGCAGGATCATATTGTGCTGGACTCTGTCCAAATATAGAACATGTGTTAGGAATATTTCAAGCCGTAGTTACCTAGAAGTGTTGTAATCCTTCCTTAATAAAATTTCAATCATAAATCATAACTTATTAATGGCTAAAAGTGTGGTCTGCCATCTAAATCTGTTAATTTAGGTGTACCTTGTTGGGTGAAAGAAGCCCTTTACTTTGACAATTAACAAATAAGAATCACAGAATTATCTCCTGCTTCCTAGAAAATCTCTGCCTGTCCCCTGTCATCTTACAGCTCTGGCTTTCTGTGAAAAGAGACCTCTCACCTCTCCACATACCCACCACTCCTCACTAGTGATGAAAGGAGAGCACACACCCTAGTCATGCTAGGACTAGTTCATCTCCTCACACCTTTTAGCTGACAATGCCCTGCACCTTGCCTTGCACACCCCATTTCTGCAAGGGAGAATGTGTATCCTACTTTCATGGAGCTGCAGCACTATGGGATGGGAAAAACCAAGTTACATTCCTCACTAAGGTGGGGACAAGCCAGACCCTGTCGCACAGTTCAGGTAGGCTCTCCCGTTCCGGCCATCACGTGGCTTTCATGTCTCCCAGCTTTGGCCCTCTAAAAGTCAGGTGTCTTGTTTGGACTAAACTTTGCAGCTTCCTCCATAATCAAAAGGAGGTGGGAGAGCTAACACAAGGCCATCGCCCTGACAGATACCTGCTTCAGAGTGAGTTGCCCTGGGAGGATCTTAGCATTTGGTCTCTGCTGACCGTGTACAGAGTCTGTGAGGCTAGGCAGGACTGAAACCTAATTTTTAGACAGGGAAAGTCAAAGGAAAGAAAAGGCAGTTTTAAGTTGTTTTATGTCTGTGTTCCTTTGGACATCTGCATTCAGAAAGGATGATTCAAATGGGAAATCTCCGGTGACTTTAGAGGGAGCCATGCAGACCATGAGCTCGATACAGACCATGAGCAGCTGATATTCCCAGCCTTCAAATGCTACCTCCTCCTTTCAGTTCTCATTGAAATTTGCATATATTGCATGCTCTGTTGAATTTTATCCAAAAGACACTAACCTGCACGGCCTGATCATTCAGTAACCGATCCAGCTGAACAGTCAGAAATGCAGATGCAGTCAGTTCATCTTTTGTAGCATGAGCTCCTTGCCTGAGGAAGACAAGGAGAGAGAAAATGGTTGTCCAGTTTCAAAATTATCCAGAGCATGACAGTAATGCACTGTAAACAATCTTGCATTTACACGTGGCTCTACTCAAAAGGACATAAAGTCAGCATAAAATAACATCCACATGCTGGAGGTCTGTGCAAAGCTGACCAAACATACCATGTGTAGATGATCTGCCCTTTAGGGTAAGTGTAGAGGATAATGTAGCAGTCACCACCATAGAACTGTCCGTACGTCTCAGGTCCCACGGGAACTCTGCCACTGCTTTCCACACGCCAGATCTGAGGAAACGGAGAAATCACTGGAGAATGCTGAATTTCATCCTGAGACTCTTCAAGAAGCACTTTATAGTGTCAACCCTTGTGTGACCTTTGTTTCTGTTCCCAAGTGTTATGGAATAAAACCAGGAAGGATTCTTCATGGAGTACAGATACACCCTGCACCCACTAAATGAATAAATAATGATAATCAACAAGCCATTGCAGTACACTTTTCTTTATCTTTATGGTTTGATACCACATGATCACCCCATAATGTATGTTGAACTTAGTTTCTTAACGTCTTAAGATGATAACATGACATAAAAGGCACAACATTATGATTCATCATAGAACTATCACATCATTTGGGAGAGACCCACTGTAGTCAGATAATACACCTTTGGGCAGATTTCTTCATATTTGATTCACTACAGCCCATTTCAGTTAACAACTGCTCTAATTATACAGCAAAAAATACTTCCGTTCTAAGATGCTTTGGCTGAAGCCTACGGACCGTCGCAAGTATGAGGTTAGAAACCCAGATAATACACCAGTGAGACTGTAGGTATTTATTCCTCCTTTTTCTTTCAGAATCCCAACACGCAGATTTGTATTCAACAGGCTGCACTGGTGCAATGCCAAACCAGCCCTGTGTAGTCTGAAGATATACCTGCAGTGCGATATGAATAGATCTAGAAAGACTCCACAGTCATCTTTTTCTCTTCAGATCCAGGCTACCTGAGACACACACTAGAGACAACGAAGGTTCCTCTAGAAAGCAGATTGATACATATATAAAGACACAGAAAGAATTCCTGACTCCAAGGGCAAGTTTTCCCATTCCAGATTCAAGCTGATGCCGAGTTTTTCTTTAGGCTAAGGATCATATTTAAAATGTATCTTTAAAAGGTATTATGTAAAAGGGGAAATGTTTCTACTGTTTGATTTCTACTGATGGCTGGTACAACATCTTCCATAAGCACCATAAAAACATGACCCAGCATACAGCTGACAGAGAGATTCACTTTCCACTTCAGAGTACCTTTTCTGGTGGTAGAAGTAACAGTGCCACTAATGTAGTGCTACCCTACACAACAGTATAAATGGCAAAACATAGAGTAGAAGCTTATCCCCTTACAAGTAACAGAAGAAATTAGGTAGGTGAGATACAATTTAATACAACATAAAAATTACCTCTACTTTCCCTGAACCGTCATCTACCATATTATGCTGGGCAGCCATTTGTGGAGACTCATGTAACTTGGCAGCATCAAATTCAATCTGCTCTATTTTAGCCACTCTCTCTGTGACGTATACTTTGCCAAAGCCATTACTTTGATCTTTATCATTCCAGTCTTTGAAAAATTGTTTGAAAATTGGTGTTTCACCTCCTTCAGGAAGGACTTGAATCTGAAATGAAGCAAGACACATGAAATGGAAGAAAACCAAAACTGACACAGTTACTCAAACTAAATATTTTCTGAATTATCTGTTAGTGACACATTGCCCTTATGTCTTATAAGCCCTTAAAAATTGTTTTTTGCTGATCTAAAAACTAAGTCTTTAACAGAGCTCATGCTCTCCCGGTATCATAAAGAGATCGTACCTGTGTGTTGGCAGGATAATTCATCTGCTGTATGAATTGTTCAGCATTCTTCATGGCAGCTTTTCTCTCTTGTGGGTTAGCATCTTTGCCTGGTTACAACAGAAGGATAACAATACATGAGAAAGGGCAATGAACTCAGAGATCCTGCAAAAATAAGATGTCCCTGGGCCAGGTTCTCTTCAATATTGCTCTTGCCTTAGCCTTGAACAAACACAAATGCTGTTCATAGCATGAGCAATAAGATTCACACAAAGCGGAATGGCTAAAACTACCTCAGTGGTTTTGAAAACAGTCAAAATAAAATTTAAAAAAAAAAAAAAAGAAAAAAGGGAGCATTGTTTTTTGCTTAGTGTGTATGTCTCTGTCAAAAAATGCTGTTCATAATATCCGTTTGGTCCAAGGTACAAGAATACCTTGGCTCTTTTCTCTGAATCCTCCCTTGCTGGGCTGCAATGTGGTAAATAAAGGTGCTGTCCAGACCTGCTTTCACTTCTTCAGGCAGTGCCACAGTCTGACTAAAAGAAACTCCCATTTCTTCTGCCTGACCCGTGCAATTTGCCACTGCCCTTGCCCATCCATTGCTCCTTGTTCAGCCTTGCTCAGTGTTAGACAGCTCTGAAAGTCTCTGTGGGATGATATTGTGTGTCGGGTCTGTGTCCCAGCTGGCTGTCAGTGACTATACTCCAAAGACCTCTTAGCCTATGATAAGCTATTCGTTGTATTCCATTTTGAGTGAGACTATTAGCAAAGTAATTCACACTCCTCAGCTTAGTGGTCTGAAGGCTTCCAGCAGAGATGGTAACTGCAGCCTCTCTGCAAGGTGAGACTCACAGACTAATGGGGTTTTTCCACACATTATTGTTACCAACAGCAGCAAAGCGAGGATGCACATAGGAGCACATTCGAAGGGCCTACATTGTATTTTATTTTATGCCTCATCCTATTGGCTTGGTTCTTCTAGGAGCTGTCACGTAGAGAGTGAAAACCAGGAATCAAGGGGTCAAGGTAGACCTTAGGCCATCTGAGCACAGTGCTCCCAAAATGCTCTCTTTTAAAGGATGTTACCCTAACTGCAAATGAAGTTTTCAAGAAAAATGCTGACAATGCTTCTTGGACTGACTTCAGCAGTTTGACAACTGCATCGATTAATTATTTGCTATTGCACATGCTAAAAAGAAATGCAAATGACACAGAATAATTAATACACTGCCTCAGACAAAAAAGGGGAGATACTCAGCACTTGATGCAATGGCAGCACCACAACAATCTCACTACAAGGTGTCCAGACCTAATTCCCAAGTAGTAGTGTTCCCCTAGGAAATGTTCAGACAGAGCAATTGCAGACACTCTTAGAAGCACTGATGATAACACAGAGAAATATTCACAAGAAAAAAAAAAAAGAAGCATCAAAATATTTGCAAGCTTATGCTTTTAGCTGATGCCTGGGACAGTCACCTTTCAATTTCACACCTCTGTGGAGCAATGTATGGAAATATAATATCAACCCATTAACAAACTTTCAGTGTCCAGATTTTGTCCCAGAAGACAGGGATTTGATAGCAATATACAAAACTTGTAGGATTCTTTATGTTTGCTCTGTAATTGCAATTAGATAAGCATTTAAGCACCCAGTCTTACAGATGCCTCAAAAATAGCCAGGATCCATGGAAAGGACTTGGTGTTGAGGTCCTCACATAAGCAATCCTTGTCCATTGACTGCACCAAGGAAGAACTGTGTGCAGAGTAGCGTGTCCAGCCAGTATTAACTTCTTGCTAGTGTCCAAAGGGGTTGTGTCAACTCCTTAGATACGTCTGTGTAGCTTCTGCATTTGCAACAAAGTGACCTCTTACCTTTCCATACAAAGATCTTCCTTGCAGCACCATTGTCTAAAATGAAGCACTCCTCAGACAAAAGCATAGCCATAGAGAAGGGGTTTTCCTCTGCTACCATGGACACCTTCATGGATCCACTTGCATCTGACACCTGAGAAAGCAATCATTTCAAATTTAGACCAACTCTGGGTTTTATAAGCAAATTAATTTCTGCTCCCAAAATTACTATAAAAATCAGTCACCATTCCTATATAAATGGCTGTATGAAATTTGTCTGCTGCTGGAAAGTAAAGTAGGCTAATGATTTTCTTTTTGTTGTTTCATTTCATTTTACATCCAATAGAGGGAGATGTAGTGTTAATTTTTGTGCGTTTGTTGAAGCCCTATCTCGTAACTTCTTAAAATATACCTGTTTCTCTTCCACTTTCAATTCAACTGCTCATTCAGTGAATACATCACAGTTAAAAAAAAAATAATCTGTATTTTCTTCAGCCCACCCTATATGCCCAGCTGAACTGGTGGAGTCCCTCAGTGTCATCTTCTGCTACCAAACAACCCACACTGAAGCCAAAGGCACACATACATGCTAAAAAAGAGCATTTGAAATTATAATAAAATTATCAGTCTTACACTGATATTAACAAGTGAAATACCTACATTTATAGCCTGCAGTTCTTTAATTGGAAACTGTCAAGACCTGTTGCAGAATCAGCTTTGTAACCTCTGCCAACACTGTAAGTTCATATAGACCTTTTATAACCTTTTAAAATTCACTCCTGCGTGGCTGAAAAGACCAATTATTACTACTGGAAAGAAGTTATTACTATTGTGGCTTCCACTTTTCCAGCAGTCTTTATTTCCTTCCATAATTAACAATGTTCAATGCACCATTATATCTTATGTAGTATACTATGGAAGCACAGGATGGAAATTACTACTGCATACAGCAAATAAAAATCAACTATTATACCTGCTGAGAGGGCTCACTGTAGACCTGCCTCCTGACTTTGACACTCCTTGTTATACTGCAGCATGTTTACATTTAGCTAACAGAGCTCTGTTAGCAGGACCTGTACTCCTAGAGAATTTATTAGATATCCACAGATCGTTCTGAGAGTTCTTAGGATTCCAAAATTCACTGCAAACACTTTTCTCCAGTATTGTCTTACTACTATGATCATACATGCAGGCCTTCTTTTTTTAATTTTTTTTCCCTAGAACTCTTGCTATAAAGGTAAATATATGCCCCATTTTTTGGAAAGAATGGGATGATTAATGGGAACTAAACGCAGAACATAGACAACAAGAACTGAAAATTGTAACATGGATGGCCTCATATAGGCTTCTTGTAAACCCCAGCCGCACATATGGGTAGGGGAAGAATCATCTAACAGGCAGGGAGAGAGGTGGCTCCATCCTGCTGTGGTCTGTGGGATGCAGGAGCTGTGGAGGGAGTGACTCATCCTCTCTCACACTTTACAGCAGCTTTGAAGCTACTGTAGATGGCACCTAAAAGGTCACACACATGGGGATCCAGTAGCATTTAGTGCTGTCAGAATATTGCCACTTGTTGAGCAAACACTTCTTGTTAAGTGACTACGGGGAAGGAAGGAAAGTACATTGTATGCCAGTGAAAGATTATTTTCTGTCACACAAGGCAACCTCATTACATGAGCCAGAGCACAAAGTGCTGAAGAGAAAGGTCCAGGTCTCAATGCTAATGAGACCTTGTAAAAAAATTACTCTTCTTGCAGTCTTCAGAAGAAAATAATCTTTTTTAATTGGCAGGGGGGAGGATAAAGTATTTTCTAGATGTCATTAAAAACATTCTCCTTTTCCAAATACTTTCTCACTTCTTTTCTCAAGTGAAAGAGTATGAAAGAAAGGGGAGCTGGGGGGGAGGGCGGTGGGGAAGAGAAAGAGAGTAAACACAGGCCTGGGAATAATTTGTGTTTTTTTCTTAAAAAGAAAAAGAAACAGTTGTGCAGCCTTGTATGTAGGTAAGATGCTATAGTGTTAGTGTGAAGAATAAATTCCTTGTCTAGTCTAGGAAAGAGCCGTATGCCTAGCGTGACATGAGGAAAACAATAACTTCACTGAATGTCATCATAAAACTCCTACTGATTTAAATGGAGTAAATATTTATTCAATTTGTTTATAGGTCATTTCTTTGTCAGTGCCACTGTCCTAGTCAGTGTTAAGCCATTGTAGGTGAAGGAGGAAAAGGGCATTGCAAAAGAATGGAGTTTTGCATTCAAATTCCTCAGATTTGTATATAAAATATAACTGTGCATCTCAAACTCTGTTAAGAATAATGAAATTATATATGACTACTAAAACTATCACTGCTATAATAAAAAAGACAGGAAATTTAGTTTGATTTAAGACCAGTTAATTCTTCTTTGGCCTGTACTGAGTGGTTCATAGGCCATGCTTAACTTGTTTCCTGAGCAAACAGGACTGTAATCCAATTTTTTTCCTCAAATTACCTTGGCTGTCTTGATTGACATCCTTTCAGAAACTTGGCTGCAAATCAACTAACACAACTGCAGTCCTGTAACTGAAGCTATAACTCCATATATGAGGGCACTATGTGCATGAACACTGTTGAGTGTACCTAACTAGATAAAACAAAACAAAACGAACAAACAAAAAATTACTCACCATATATAGTTTAGCACTTCTCCTGTTTGTAATATCAGCCAGTTCATCATCATCATCATCACAATCTGGAAGCACTGGCTTGCTCCCTAAAACCTGTACAAGAGAATAACAAATTCAGTGCAGAGAATAGGTTCTGTAGCATAAATGCCTAAACACTGGAATGTGTTGTCTCAGTAATCCATTAATCAGGATCATCTTTGCATACAATACAATCTAAATCCAAACTCATACTCATGGGTGACTTGTTCACAAATATACGGGTAAGTTTAAAGCACCGTCTGAAATCTCCAACAGCTTTAGATGTACATGCTGTCTTTCCTGCAAGCCAACTTGCTGGTCATCTGCAAACTAGGACAGGAAATTATATAAATTTCCTATAATTTTTTCCTAATTTTTTCCTGAAAAAAGCTTCAAAGGATACAGAGACAGAACAGAGAGGTTTATGTGATCCTGCTCTATGTGTGTGTTTATATGTCTGTCTTCCCCTTTTCCTCCCAGTAACTTCTAAACTGTGGGCAAACAAGTCATACAATTTTTGGAATGATATTACTCTTAAAATGCTTGACAATACTAAAATTAAAGCAGAGAAAGTGAAATATATGAGTTGAAATTATATTTTAAAATATTTCAATTGACAATATAAAATATCAGATTATGAGTTCAATAATCTTAAAAGTTACAGATTGTTAATCTAATTTTAAGAAGGAAAAATTAGCTAAGGTCTTGAAAAAAATTTCTGGGGTGAGAAAAATATTTTCTTGCTCTACCATCAGAATGTCAATTTTAACACTGTGGTAGTTTTACAGCAGAGTGGTTTTACACTAAAGGTAATCTTATAACAACTATCACTACAATAAATTTTTGGAGGTTCATCAAGAATATGTAATGGTCAGGTAGTCATTATTAAATCCTAGTTACTCATTCTTAATGATCTTTCCTTACTGATTCATATATGACCAGATCTAAATGTAACATAGAGAATTTTATGGATTTCTGTTAAATTGTGTCCTAGAATGAAAGCAGTAGTAATTGATACATCTGAGTAACTATGTAATAACATCAAGTACAAGGGCTGTGCCTTCCTATTGACACAGTCTATTTGCATATGACACGGAGTCATATGCAAAACATTGTAAATATTTGATAACAGGGAAGCCTGACAAAGCATACAGCTGCAATTTGGAAAAAAACACAATACATCCTACATATTTAAATATAAATCTGCCATCTGTGGAGTTTCCTGACCCGGTACAGCCAGTAAAATACTTGGCATGGTAAATGCATTTGCTCCAGTGTAATCTGAAAATTTGTACTCGTTGAAGAAGAAAAAGTAATGTCCTGGGTATTTAAGAAAGATGTTACCAATAGCTTGTCAGTAGCAATCAGTCAGCATTTCCTGAATTCATATTACATGGCTACAGATTTACTAATGTATAGGCCAAGCGGGGCTACGTTTTCATAGCAGAGTGCCACCATGCTGGTGAATGGACAAGAACAATGGGCATATGGGCATATCGGCACCAGGTTTCTGAAAGTGTTTCCCTTCCTAGGTTTTCACACTAACCAGTAGCCTACACACAAGCTGTAGAGCACCAAGAATAATGTTGCAGAAAACTGCCAATTAGCAGGTATATTTCCTTATCTGAACAGACACTGAATAGATTTGAGGGTTTTATAACATTTCCATTACAGTGTGACTAAGAAGATAAAGTGTCCTGTTAATAAAATTTCCAGAAGTCCATACTCACTAGCTCTCTGCTTAATTAGGTATTTCCAGAAAAAAAAAAAAAAAAAAAAAAAAAAAAAACCAGAAAAAAATACACACAAATTGTGATTCCTGACACAGGTAAAGTCAGAGTTTTCCCTTGCCATGCATATAGAATACCTGTGGCACCACAATTATTTTGCAGTTTTGTTGTAAGTCATTTAAAGTGACATAAAATAAACTGCTCTTAAAATTTTCTGCTTGCCCGGGGTCTTTGAAAACTATGCAAGTGCCACTGAATATTTTTAAACAAGGCTAAATAGTGCCTGATGGTGTTTGTGAAAGCATCTTGACAGAAGCAGCCTCTCTATTCACAGCACAGTCTAGGTGCTTCACCCTGTTGGCAATTAAACCAAGCAGCCTCTATAATTTAAAAACTGGACTTCAAAATTGGTCCCAGCACAGTTTAGATTGCTAGCCTGACCTCTTGGTGTCTTAAAACTGCATTTAGAAATGTTTTTCTGAACTAGATAGAGAATTGTTGTTGGAGTCCCTAAGTCTTCGGAAATCTCAGTTGGCTGGCACAGATAAGGGGGTCAAAACCCCTTTTGTGCAGGTGCAGTTTCAGGTATTGGAGGAGCTGCTCTGGAAGGGGCAGAGACATTCTAGTTCTGGGGAAATCCATTCACAATTCACTAAACAGGAGCTTGCACAGTAGCTTCTCTGGCCAAAGCTAGCCCTGTGCATTACTCATTTTTGTAATTCTTCTGCAGCTTCTCAGAGGAGCCCAAAAATAAATGGAGAAGGGCCTTGAGGGTGCCCTCTTCTCCTGCATTTGAAGTCATAGTCGCTTGTAGATCCCGGCATTTTGGTGACCCTTGTTAAGAAGGGACAAGATGGGCTTCTCCTCCCACCAGATAAGAAATTCCAGGACTTGTAAACAGGGCTGTGCAGCCAACACAGACATTAGAATAAGCCTTGAGCTGAATCACTAACAGGTGTATGTATCTGTGTGTGTTAGTAACAAAACTAGAAGATGGCACAAGGTCAAAAATTACTTAAGGTAAGACACCAGCCGTGTTGTGAAGTAATGCAGCATGCACTATATACTCTATATATGAAATGGTACAGTATGAAATGCATACAGTCACCACACTCCCATATTGCTAGGAACAACTTTTGTCATTCCCAACATGCATTAATTTTGGCCAGACTACATTGGAGGATGAGACAAACTGCAGAACGAAAAATTTAGTGCTTAAACAGAAAGCAATGTATGCTGAAAAAAAATGTTCTGTCCCAAAGAAATTCCCTCCCAGAGAAGTTGCCTTTCCTCCTTCTAAGGCAAACTCCATGCTACAGCTGAGTATACACATAGGCACACATATGCCAGGATGTTATGACAACTGATAATTTTATCAACAGGATTACAAAGCATGTACTGAACAACAGCTAACTGCTACACTGGAATTTGGTTGTATCATTACCAAGCATATGGCTGGCTCAGCTGCAGGTCTCCAGGGCACCTCACCTTTAAATAGATGATTCTCACATGATGACTCAAAAAGAAAACAAATCATGCCAGCTGAGGCTATAGTCAAAGGCTCCCAAAGCTTTTCTGCAAGGTTCCCCGATAAAATTACTTAAGACAAGAGACAGTTTAAAGGACATTAAATCTTATGACACTTATCTACATATAATCTTAGTTTCACACAGATCGTGTGCTAGCTACAAACACAGGACATTGCTTGTAAAATTCTCCCTGTAGAGACACTCAGGTTGCTCCAGTGGGTCCATATGTCTTACAACCCAGTGTGCCCCGGGCTGGCTCTCCTGGGCTGCTCTGAGGTTTGGGACCATGACTCACAAACCTGCCAAGAATTCAGAAAATGATTGATATTGATTTAATAGGAGCAAGAAATTTAAAGAGTTCAGTGAGGCTGAAAATCGAACTAGGAAAACTATACTTGAAGAATATGTCAGGTGAAGGTTAATTAAGAGAGAAAAACCAGCTTAGTACAGTTTAACTTGAGTACACTAGCACTGTGTTTGTGTTTCTTCTTACTATACACAATTTGGGTTAGGTTTATGAGTTTGAAACTGAACTATTTGTTGTAGCTGTGATCCCAAGCATCAGAGCTCAAAAACACTCAAATTCCCCTCTTTATATGCTAAGAGCCATTAGAAAGAAAAGTGAGACATTTATATGGCTTAAAGCTATCTTGTAGGCCTGACATTTTATTACTTAATACTTTTGGAAAACAGTTGGGGTAAGCAGCTCATAATTTACTTTCTTGCATACTCTGATATAAGCAAGTATATCCTGCTCATGCAATCTCAAGGTACACATGTAGGGTGGGACAGAGAATAAATCCTCTGTGCCAGACAACAGGGCTGAACTATAGGCACAGCATGAACTCATTGGCAGATAAAGGCTTAGATTTTTATTAACCTTCAAAGTAGAGAAAAGTACTAAAAGGGATATCTCTCTGAAATAAATACTGCCTCAAATATCTACTTCAGTGGCCTATAAAGGGAAAAAAAATCCAGCAGAGAGAGGCAATGATGAACATGATGCAGGCTAGTAACCACCTGTCTGACCCTGGTTACCAGTGCAGACGTACACCCTGGGGCTCACTGGGCAAAGGCGGCTTTAGGGCTCCACTGCTTAGGTAGCTGGCCACAGTTTCATTTCTAATCATTTTGGCTTACTGGTTCTCCTGAGAGAGCACAACCACTGCAGAGGATATTCTGGTCAAGACAAAAATTATTTTTGACATATTTTGGTCAGATTATGAATAGCCAGATACATTTATTTCACTGGTTATTGTAACCTGGAGCTCTTTCCATCAAACTGAGCAAACATTCATAGTCTTAGAAAAAATTATGCTCCCATCAGGAAAAAAAAAAAATCCTTTCACTAAGTTGCTCCTAGGTACCTAGCAGGAGTTCTTCCTGAAATTGCTTTTCACTAGCAATTCCAGAAACAGATGTCGTTACATGCTCACCTTGAGCAGAATACCTCCCACCTGCCTGAGCAGAGATTGAAGATAAGATGGAAACAGCCATAACGTACTGAGAAGCGGACAAAAGAATGTTGTATGTTAACAAATAGTTCTGGCACGCTGTTAATTTTTTGGGGTTTACCATGTAGTTTATCAAAAGAACTTTCTGGTATTAGGGTCTAAACTTGAACTGTATGCATTCAGATTGCTATAAAATAGCAAAACCTGCTCATGGCACTTTTGGTGCATAAATTGTGGCCTACATTTTTAGTCAGTTTGTGTTGTCTCAGGAATTTCAAATGCAAATCATAATTTTATTCATAACTCTATGCTTAATGTCCTAAAAATAGGGCATTAGGCTTTAGCAGCCGTTCATACAATAT